TCTTAACATTTTTTAATGTTTGTCAGAAGATCTTCATATTTATGAAAGAAGAACTACAGTTAACTGTGATAATTTTACTTCTAACAGTTGGGCATAAAATATTACTATATATATTAGAGTCTGATGATGTTTAGAGCTACCTTGATAAGAAAGCTCTAAGTCATCTTCTGATGAATATATAACCTTTAAAGCATCTCAGCCTCTAATACTATAAATAAGGTTAACTACCTCTGATATGCACACAAGTGGACATCCTTTGGTAACTTCCTCTGACATTTGTCCTCTTATATGTCACAAATTTGAAACGTATTTTTACACATGGATTGTAACTAATGAGTAAAAACTCCTTTGTTCTTGGTGGTGCATATTTACTTCTTTGTTTCCTATTTATTTTTGCACTTATGTTGTGTGTTGTTTGAAATTTATTTTTCACTCAAAAACACTTTGTTATATCATAAACACACACTTCACTTCTCACCACCTACACTTTTCTTTCTCTAACCCTCTCTGAAAAATCCCTTTTAAAAAAGTAAACCCTAGAAACCCTAAAATCTTCTCTCAACAATGGCGCCCTCATCTAATGCTCAACATGCACGCATGAATGTCGACTCTGGAAAAAGTATGACCATAAAGCCCAAGTCCATGGATTTGAATTAAGATGATATAAAGCTATTGGTGGAACATATTGTTGATTTTGATTCATTCAATCAGAATAGGTATGATCTTTGAAGCTTCTTCGGAGTTCAAGAGTGGTCTCATATCTTTGAAATGCTGAATAGACCAACCTATCCTTATCTTGTGAAGGATTTTTGGGTTAGGGTAGAATTTTTTGATGAACTTGTTGCATCTAAGTAACTTAGAATTCTAGTGGAGAAAAACAACTATTTGAAGGGGAAAATAGAGAAGAAGTTAGATTGAAGAGGTTTGAAGAAGTTGAAATTAGGTTTACTATGATGGGTGTCGATGTGGTCATCACCCAGAAAAGTATTGATATACCTTAAAGAGCACCAAACTCTGGAAGGTTTAATGTGGGTACCAAAGACAATAGTCCTTAAGCTGAAACAATCAAGAGTTAGTTGTTTGAGAATGCTGATAAATTTGGTTCCTATGACTTTAGAAAGGTCAAGAACATGAAGAGAGAACTCAGGCTTCTATTTAATATCTTAATTAGTTGTCTGATTCCTAAAGAAAAAAGCATTGATCAAACTTCTTGGGATCACAAACACTTCCTTTTCTACTTGAAAAATGAAGATAAGATAAATATGTCTGCCTACATCTTCCATCATCTTTATGAAGCAATCAGAGATAACAAAAAATTTCGCGAGAAGAATGTTTCTTATGCCAGGCTATTGTCAGAATTGTTCATTTAGGGTCGTCCAATTGATGCCTTAAAAAACTTTCCTGAAAATGGGGATCTTAAGGAAATATATGGAAATGTGTTGTCTGCTTTTGTTCTTGGTAATATGAAGCTTATGAAGAAAGGAGATGTTGTGGCTTCGAAGGTACCTTTATCTGTTAGGTGCACTAATCTTGATTATCTTGAGGATTATCCTGTCATAACCATAATGGATAATCCTAAAGTAATATTGATCATTCATTTAAGGAAGAAAAAGTAATCAGACTTAAGGAAATTCATGACAAGCCTATTGAAGTGTTTAAGGCTCGTAATAAGAGGAATCAAGTGTCTTTAGATGCTGAGAAACCTCCTAAGAAGAAATTTGTACATAAGAGGGAGATTGAGAAAGAATTTGAGGAGGTCATTGCATATACCAAGAAAGGTGCTTTTGTCTCTGTCATTTCAGAAGCACCTACAAGGAAGAACATGTTGAGGAAATTGGTTGAGTTAGAAGAAGAATAAAAATAAGAGGATGTTAGTGTATCCTTGATCATAAAGAAAAAGACTGTAAATGTCTTTGTTCAAAAGAGTTCAATTGATCCTAGCTTAAAGTATGCTCAACTTTTAGAATATATGATGTTGCATCAGTCAATGAAGTCTTCTGATTTCTCTGATAATGGGAATCAAGAGGCTGCTACTGTTGTTGGACTGGAATTGCTAAGGTCCAAGCTACTAAAGGTATGGTTGGATTAAATACTATGGTTTCTGAAGCTTCAGTTATTCGTGAAGAAGTTGCCTCATAAGTTATTGCTACTTCAGAAGCTCTAAATACTGGTGTAATAGATATCAATATGAATCTATTATCTAAAGATATTTTTGATTACTCTACCCTTAGTCGTAAATCACCAACCCCCTCACTAATTCCCTCACCTGTTCATTATCCTATACATATTTCCTCACCTATTGTTTAACCCATGGGAGATCAAAATTAGTTAGCTCTTAATACTATGTTTGATCAACCATCACATATTAACACTATGTATGGACCACATATAGAGATTTCTAGTGGCGAAACTTCTTCTTCAAGTCCTGAATAAGTATATGATGAAGAAGTCTTGTTGCTAGTTTTGGCATAAATTCTTTTGACCATAAACCTGTCTCTATCAACCTTATCCCAGCCATCCTCATTAGAACCTTTTCTCTTCAAGACCTACCTTCTAGCCAAGCGTGTTTTGTTTCTGAAGTTGAACATGAAACCTTTTTCCAACCAAATTTTACCTTCGTACCTAGAACACCTCAACCATCACCTATACCCTCACTTCAACCTTCACCTCCTGCATCCTCTCACATAGAACCTACCCTCGTACATAGTCAACCTCGGGATGAATTTGCATCTGAACTATAGACTAAAATGGATAAAAAATTTAGGATCTACCTTTGGTTCAAGTTACTTGTAACCCTATTATTGAGTCTGATCAAATTCCCTTTGATTACCTTCACCCTAAAATATATCTAAACCTACCTGTCCTTCAAACCAATCCTATGAACCTAGACCCTCACATACAAACCATCCATCCACCTCACAAACTATCCAAACCAACCAAGATGTGATAAAAATGTCTTTTTGGATAATATTCATAATCTCGTCCTTGAGAAATCCTATGCATCTGACCCAATAACATATTATGCTAAATGGGATTCTCTTCAGACCTTTGTTGTATCACCTATTCAGAATCTAAAGGATGTCGCCTCAGATACTATTGCATATTCCAGTTCTAGGCAAGATGTTTTAGAAAAGAACCTGGCTTTGGTTGCTGGTTCTCAATAAGCCATGTCTAACAAACAGAAAGAAATGGACGAAAGGATGAAGTCTATAGATGTTAGACAAGACACCATGGGTGCAGATCTAAGAGCTATTTCAAAAATTTAAAGAAACCTTATATTCAGACTCTATAACCCTTTATTTTTATTTGTCTTCCGAACTCATTTTGTGATTAATTGATATATGCCATTACTTGTTCATTCATTTTGTTTGGATTACATGTCTTGTGGCTATGTTTTTTGTTTGCTTATTGTCATACCCCAAATTTGTCCTACCTGTATATATCTTCATCTGTACATTCACTCAATAACCATTATGCAGAAAATCAAAAAAAAATATGTGTTGTTTTTGTCATCATTGCCTAACTCCAAGCTGTTGCAAGATTGAATTGAATTTTCAGGACAGTTTATGTTGGTTTTGACTTTATTCTTGATAAGACAAGTTGTGTTGAAAGATTAAGGCATGAGAAATTGATTTGATGGGTGTATTTCGGGATCAAGATTAAGATCGTTGAGTTTTATTTGGCTCATGGTGATTACCAGCTCTGGCAAGTGTGTTGAGTCCAGACGGAAACGAGAGAAGATTATGCCCTCATTTTCCTGGTCAATTAGTTAAAACATGATTTATTGTCCTCAAGCGCCACCTTCCAAGTCCATTTGCAAAGTTGCTACAAGAATTCAAGTTATAAAGCATCCAATATTGGTGCATTCGGCCTTATATTTCAAAATATGACCTCTAATTCTAAGACATTTTCATCTCGGTTGTAATTTTGCCGAAAGAGATTCAGTGCACAACTTGGTTCATGATGGGTTCATTTAATCGAGTGAAAGTTCAAGTTTTAATTAATTCATCTTTGTTTGAATAGTACAAAAATGAAAGGTTTTATTATTTGTTCAAGATCCAAGATATTCATTTATTCAAATGTAAGATTCAGTCAAGTTTAGTTCATGTTGGATTTTTGTTTCGTCATGGTGTAAACAAATAATCAAGGGTGCAAATAAAAATACAAGATCCATCTCATTACAAAGCTATAAGTCCAAACACATGAAGATTCAAATTGCATTAGTCAATACCAAGTCAAATTCAAGGTACAATAATGAATTTTAATATAGGCAATATAGTCCATATAAAGGACACATATGAGTTTAATTACAAAGCCCAAAGGCCATTTGAAAGTAGGTAACAATATCATGAAACCTCATGCCATTTCTACCAAGGAAAAGTGGGTCGCCCTCTTACATCTTCTACACGACCAAGTGATGCCTCACAATGTCTCAAGTTCACAAAGATTCAAAACCTGTTAGAATAAATTTCAGTCACACACCACTTTTCGTAACCAATTTTTAATTGTTACAAAAGGACAAAAGTAAAGAAATTCGATACCTGCGCAAGTAGCACGGCATACCACTACACACCAATCTGCGGCAAAATGGCAAAATGTTCGATTCCTACCTCAACCTTACAACACCAACAGCCGTATCACCCACAAAATTTCTACAAAGATCGTATTGAGTAGGGGTGTGCAAAATAACCAATAACCATAAACCAAATTCCTATCCAAATTAATCCAAATTTTAAAATCCAAACCAAATTTATATTTTAAATTTGGTGGCCCATTTATCAAATTAAAAAAAAACGGTAACCATTTGTTCCAAACCGGTTTGAGATTTGGTAACCATTTTTCAATGAATAGTTTGGAAAAATCAAGATCAACACAAATTTCAAAAACCTTAATTCTTACAATCAAAATTTTATTCATCTCTTTCTTCTCCATCATACATAGCCAATTAAGCAATATAACTCACCCACATGTTTTACTAACTAAGTAGAAATTTAGTGAAAATGATAAAGATGAAGGTTGTGTGTGCAATGATGATTCTGGTAGTTGTTATGGTTGAGATGTTTTCCGTTGCTGAGGGTGGTTGTAACGCAATACAATTGAGTCCATGTCTACCTGCAATTAGGTCAAACTCTGCACCTTCTGCTACATGTTGCAGCAGATTGAATGATCAAAAGTCATGCTTATGCGGTTACCTCAAGAACCCAATCTTGAAGCCATATGTTAACTCTCCTGGTTCAAGAAGAGTTGCTGAAGCTTGTGGTGTGGGAGTCCCAAATTGTTGAGTTCAATTATTAAAACCACCCTTAAGGTATTCTATACAAATTATGTCCTTTAAGTCTTTAAGGTAATATGGTGGTATTATTGTCTTTGAATGATACTACATATACGCCATGTATTGTACTTAACAACAATAAATAAGAAAGTGGTGGTATTATTATTATGTATAAATATTTTCAGAGTGAAATTAATCTGCTCAAGCAAATTAAACTTTGATATTTACATATGAAATTGAGTACAAGTTTACTTTGAAGAATGTATAAATAATAGCGAATATTAAGTGTATGTTCGGTTTAAGTTTGAGTCACTACATACAAATTATTGTCTTAGATTCGGCCATTAATAACTCTCTTTTTTCCTTTAAAACGTTCGAATAACATATACATTCAAGACGATTCATTCAGCAGTAAACATATATGAAAAAGATGACATTATAGTTTAAAATCTAATTAAAATAATACAAGATACCTATGTTACATGAGTATAAAATTGGTTTTTTTTTATAAAATTGATTTTAAAATTGATTTCTTTAAAGAAAATAAAAAAAACTGATTTTGAGAGAAACCGGTTTAAAACTGGTTTTTAAAAAAACTATTTTTTTTCTTTAAAAACCGGTTTGAAACCAAACCGATCCACTTGTAAACCGGTTTTAAAAAAATTAACTGGTTTTACATAAATGGTTTTAAGATCCAAACCAAACCATATATGTGGTTTGGTTTGGTTTGGTTTATAATCCATGCACACCCCTAGTATTGAGTATGCATCAGATAGGCTGGCAATGTTTTCCCCAATTTTTGCCAAAACCGCAACACCACTAATCCACAACAGACAAAAACAAAGGAAGAGAAAAATTGTCAAAGAACATACAGTGACAGCTTGCAAAATGGAGAATATTCTCACCCTTCGTTTACGGATTCACCCTTCAAAACGGGAACAGTCTTTAAAATCTGGGGGAACCAAAAAGAAACGGAGCTCTCTTTTTGAACCAAAACTCAAGCTTTTAACAAATGGTGATTCTTCCATAACTCAGGATTGGAATTCCTCCATTCGAATTGGTTAACCTTTTTTTCAACCAAATGCACGAAATCTCCGTTCAACTTAGATCTTTTCCTTCAAAATAAACCCTCACCTTCATCTTCTTCAACATCAAAACTCCAACAATCTTCTTATTTACAACCTCTTCAAATCTCTCACCGAACTTCACTTCTGTTTCTTCAACCATAAAATTTTTAAACCCAGAAACTTGCCCCAAATCTTCATCACTAACCCCCAACAACAAACCGCAAAACCCTTCAAACCCAGCCCATAAATCCAAACCCTTTTATTCAAACTTTAAAAAAAAAGCCAGCCAGGAATAGATTCCTTTCTCCAATCAAGAACCCAATCGCCTTCTTCTGGACTTCTTTTCTCCAATCGAAAATTCCTTCAACTTGTTCAAACTTCAAGCTTTAACAGTTTTCTTGGAGGCGACCCGAGTCGGAGTAAAAGGAAGAAGTAGCCGCGATTCTGAGGCAAGTCGTTTTGGTCGGAAGTGATTTGGGGGAAGCGGTGTTCTGTTTTGCTTCTCGTTCTCGTTTTTCTTTTGTTTATTTTTTTCCAGATTTTTGATAAATGAGATTGTAATAAACATGGCTAAGGACTTGAGCTTTTAGGTCTTAGTTTATAGGCTTTTAGCCCTTTTTGTTTATCTGCTTGCTCTGTTTTTTTATTTGTTGGGAGGTGATGGGCTTCAAGCCCATATGATCCTCTCCAACTTACCTTTTTTTTCCATACCCCCTTCCCCTAATTTTTTTATTTGTTTATGTTTTTTGTTAAAGCTGAATTTTTATTAATCATGCTTATTTATACTTTAATGACCTTGTTTACCTAATGTTTTTAATATTTCTTTTGTTAACAAAATCTTTTAAGTTTGGCTCAATTTCTTTGTTAGATTTTTGTTGCATTTTGATTATCTTCAATTTTATTCATTTTAGTTCGTTTTTATCGTTTCCGGTCGATGATGAGACCTTAAATTTGTTTTTCTATCAAATTATTAATGAAAAATAACAAACCCGAGACCAACTTCTTTTTAACTTCTCATTTTCTATTTTTATCGATTTTTATTCGATTCTTACTCATTTTGATCAATGATAATTTTTAAGGATTATTATCGGTCAAACTATTGATAGAGGATAATTTATTCGAGACTATTTCATTTTCTATTTCATTTTCTTATTCATTTCCATTTTATTCATTTTTTCCTATCGATGATGTCTTCTGATTCGTAAACGTCGTGTATCGAGGTCGATAACCTTCTCGATTTCAAATCTATGGAGAATGACCATGTGAGTCATTTTCCCTACTTTGGGATTGTGATAGGCTACCTTCGAGTAATCAACATTTTGTTTGCGATTAAGACGAGATCTCTTCTTTCATCTGTGCGACACTATTAAATTGGGGAATGGTTCTCAATATCATTTCTCCATCTTGTTTTTTAGCACGGAAATCAACTCATGCGACCTCCTATAGACCGACTTTCATTATAAGTCGAGCTACGATGGTTTAGCGTTACATTTGTCCCGATTCAGTTCCTAACAAAACTAACTACTAACTTTAATTTCCGTCAAATATTATTGTGGATATTATTGTTATATTTATCTTGCTATATTATTCATTGTCATATCATATTATTCATTCTCATTCACCCATAATCGAAAATACATAATAAACTATCGAAATCCTAAAAGCCAAACTGGTGGACTGGTGGACTGTTGGATCATTGGTCATTTGCAGGAACCCTAACATTGAGTCGTGTCCAACCTTGCTCAAGGCGTAGTTTAGGACACAATGCACACACACGGCTTTCTCTTGGGCTACCTGACAATGAGACCCCTTTATTTCGTGCAATCCCGTGTAAATTACATGTACCCCTCTCCCATTCTGATGTATGTTTCGCATTTCTTTGATTATCGGTTTATCTCCTAGGAGCACCCATAGGGACTAGAGTGGATCAAACTATTTTCAAACTAATTCTCGATTCGTCATCGAGCCATTTTCAAACACCCTGTAAGTCGAGTGCTCATACGCATTCGCCATCAACCTATTGCACACACTTCACCGTGGATTCGATATTGGGGGCACCCTCAGGGACTAATATCGTTTCTCACAACTCGACCCTTGATGCGTAAGTCAAGTCGGTTCCGTTTCTTAAACTGTTTCCATTCCCACATGTTTTGCACGCGATAATAAGTCAAACCCTTGATCCAACGTCAAGCATATTTTCATAACAAACTATTAATTAATTAATAATTATTTAATTCTTTTCAAGGTGTAAAGAGTGGGTTCAATTCTTTGATCTTGCTTTCGGTTGTTTGGATGCGAGTTACCTTATTCGTGTGTGAGAAATTGACGCCTTTAAATAACATTAATAATTCGACGTCATTCAACCATCGTCCAACTACTCATCCCATTCAGATACCACTCAAACAACCTTCTTTTGCGATGAAAAAGAGAGAGTTCCAAGTCTTTGGTTCGCTCTCCCGATTACTTGGGTCCGAGAAGTCTTTCTTAAGCTTCGAGTAATCGTCATCCGATTCCAACCATTCATTTCAAACACCATACAAACACAACCTCTTTCGAGATGAAAAAGAGAGAGTTCCAAGTCTTTGGTTCGCTCTCCCGATTACTTGGGTCCGAGAAGTCTTTCTTAAACTTCGAGTAATCGTCATTCGTACCCATTTCAAACCTATTCAATCCCATTTCTCTTCATGGTTGTTACCACGAACTACAACTGCTCTGATTCTTCATTCTCGTCCGAATGTAAGATACGTAGGCACAAGATTGCGATGATCTTGACAAGCACACCTCTACCTTTCTCCATTATTCTGTCCATCCCCCATCCTTTCCCGTAGTCAAAATACGATGCTCTGATTTCTCATTCTCGTCTGAATGAGCGTACGTAGGCACAAGGGCTCCAATCCTTGGCGAGCATCCTACCCTCTAACCATCCCTTTTCCCCTTAGCGTCTTTATCCCTTTTAGTACTATTTTAGTATTTAGAATTGAGAAGAGAAGAACTAAGCTTAGCTAACATTCATCACAATCCGAATTAAGAGGTTCCCGTTGAGTACAACGGATGCGAGGGGTGCTAATACCTTCCCCTTGCGTAACCGACTCCTGAACCCAGGAACATCAGGTTGCGACGGCCGTGTTCCTTTCATTTTTAAGAGGTTTTCTCGATATTTTCCTCTCCCGTTCATTCAGGATAATTAAAGTTCGGTGGCGACTCTGTAGAACCGAATTTCCGCGCCTTTTGTGCGAGGGTCGTTTCTCCAAAATGTGTCCGTGATTTTTCGAGGTGCGACACTTATGTTTTTACATCAAGACATATTTATCTCTAAATCATTAGTATTCTTATGATAAATGTTTAATATACTCTTTGATTGGCTATCTTTGGCTGAATTATTTTTCTTGAAATTTCTTGGATGTGTATATACATTCAAATAAAGAATCAAGTTACTCTGAATCATATCATTGCAAAAAGAAATGGAGAGTTTTTCATTCAGTGATGAAAAGAATACAAAAATGCATGGATTACATCAGTTAAAAAAGATCAGAACAATAACCCCTATCACTAATAAAATCCTTCCCCAACTACTCGCTCTTCACTTCCCTCGTCAGAGTCATAGAAGAAAGTACTATATGACACTCTTTTCTTTTTCTTCTTCAGCTTCTTCTTGTTCCTTTTTTGCTTCCTCAATCTTAAGGCATACCTTGATATGGTTGACCCAGTTGGTTGTGCTTCCTCAATAGGTTGTTGCGAATATGGTAGTGGGACCTCCGTTGAGATGGTGCATGTCTCCTTCTTTGTTGTAAAACTCATATTTCTAAGAAGAGAACAAGAGTTAGATGAAAATATGAGAAGTATGTTTCTGATGGTGTGCTTTTATAGAGGAAGTTGAGTGTCTTGTATATTGAAATGGAAAGATGGAACATCTGATCATTTAATGCCTACACTGATGACTTCT